TAAGCCTAGGACGATATTATGATTAAGATTACGGTTAAACATATCATAATACTAACAATAATCATCCTGTCTGCTGACAGTCATCAACTTTTCTCTCTAGTTATCCTTGACCATATGCACCCTGCAAAAAACTCATGAGAATGACTAAGCATTTAACAGCCTACCTAGACATCCTGTCTCCACTAAACATTTCTAATACAGCAAGTATCTAACCAATATCTATCTGACTAAAAAATACCTAACAGAATGTTTGCTACATGCTGTTTAGACATTTTCCACGTTTTTGTCTGAAAAATGCTATAATTGCAAGGAAGACCATCTTACACATAGAAGCTTACATATAGGATCACAGCAAAGAAGACTAGCTTACATGCCATTATTTTTATGTTATTATTTAAGATTTTCCTTTAGGTACTCAGCTCTGGGCTTTCCCTGGAGGGGGTGGTTTGGGAGGGTCTCTCTCCTCCTTGGATGCCTAATCTGGGGACAATAGGGACATTTGATTTAGGTTGACACGATAAAAATCGTGTCAAAAGGGGGAATTTGTTAGAAATTAATAAATCAGTCAGATAATTATTAGACTTTAATGTGTTAGATTTTAATGTGTGTTAGTAATGCAGTTTAGTAAGATTCAAAGTCTGTTCATGTGTGCTTTGCTTCAAGGTTAGAAGATAATGTTGACTCTGAAAAAGGGTATCTTGACACCAGTTGTTTTTGTATTAATCTTGTGTAAGAATTATGTCTGAAAGAATGTTTTAGCTACACATCACGCATACAACACACACACGGAATTCTTAATTTGGTTATGACTTGTGCTCAATGCATGCAGAGCATAAGATATGAGACAGAGACGTCGGACTGTCTCCAACTTGTGATGTTTTTACAGGTGTCTGTGTAAGGGGTTAGCCCAAAATCTTATAAATGTATGAGGCTTTGTGTTTCCGGGGTCTCCTGTCTTCCAGCTGTAGTCTGGAGCAGGAGCCGCCCAGGTTTGTGTTTCTGTAACTTTTTATTGTGGCTTTCAAAATAAATCAGCACTAAATTGAAGCAAGTCGAACTCTGTCTTCATTCAGATCTGTTCAATAAAAGAACTGGGGTATAACACTGGAGAGGATCTGGACTTCCTTGTCCTCGAAAGAATGTCCTTTGTCCTTCAGGTGCAGGTGGACTGCTGACTCTGGTCCACTGGAGTTGGCCCTCCTGTGTTGGGCCATGCATCTGTAAGATTTGAGTCTTATAAACTCTAGTTACTTTATAAGCTTTAGTTACTTCTCATACCTTTAGTTCCCCTTAATTACCTTTCATAACTTTATCTTACTTGTTTATGCATATTACAGCTGTATTGATGATTGTCCAGAACTACTAAGCTTTGGTTATTCTTAATACATTTATTTTCCTTGCTTATATATCTTACAATTGTATTGATGAGAATCAAGTAGAATCTGCTTACTTTAAATGCTGTAAGTTCTGTGTAGAGACTAGATGTCTGCATCTCTTTGTGACCAGACAGCCTATTTACATTTTAGCAAAGGCCTGTTTTACACTCACACCTCGACCCACTTAGCATATCCCAAGCTTTGCTTTGTCTTGGGATGTCCTACAGAGGCCAGGGGCTCACCACCTGAGAGACACACACACACCCACACACACATAGCTAGATTTACCATATTTCAACATGGAAGTGCGAGCTCCGGCTCACACCAAATGACCAATAGGATCACAAACTATTGAAGGTTGCACCACTGTCCAGGACAGAGCAGCCCTAGAAGATAAAATGTATTTTACAAACTTAATTCGGGGTCAGTGGATGGAACTCCTGCGGGAGCTCTATCTCTCCGATCCCAGCGCTGTGAGGCCTACCTGTGATCAGACTTTCAGTAAACTTTCTGATGATTTTAAACAGTCCTCTCCTGTCCTCACTTCTTGTGCTTCCAACAAAAAAATCGAGTTAATTTCTAACACATTTGTGCAGCAGCTGCTTAGTTTCACCAATGTACAAGTCGTTACACTCCTGACTACACTTAATTGCATATACCACATCACTCTGTTTATGTCTGGGTGTTTTGTCCCTCGGGTGGACCAGTCTTTGCCGCAGGGTGTTCCCTGGCTTAAAGTTGACTGGGATTTTGTGGTTGCAAAAGATCATTTTCAACTTCTCTGATAAACCAGCCACATAAGGGATGACAGTGTTAACCCCTCTTGTTTCTGGTTTCTCCCTGAGCCAATCCCGGTCGGCAATCGGGCGAAGGCGGGGTACACCTGGACAGGTCGCCAATCCATCGCAGGGCGCATCCCTAATAAATGGCTAGTATTTTAGCAATTCATCTGTGGTCTCAGGTTCTGACAGTAAAACATTCATTTCATTCAATGTCAGTGAGATGTTTGTCGCTGACATGTTTTCTCCTTTGCTCTCCCATGTTTTGTAAGAATACAACTTTCAATCCATCTTTTCCCAAACAGGTATGGATTCTTCAATGTCTATAAAAAGTTGATGACTACTTGAATCTGTTCCCACAGGCCTTGCAAACATACAGCTTCTCACCAGTGTGTGATCTCGTGGTATTTCAATCGAGACTGATACCTAAACGTTTTCTCACAAGTGTCACACATTACAGACTTTCTCTCTGTGGGAGGATCTTTGTGACGTCTCCTCTTTGGCTTTGGCTCTGCATTACTAGCTGATCCTGAGTCTCCATGCTGGCTTCCTCCCTAATCCTGGCTCCCAGCTACAGCAGAGCTGGGATAGAGGAGCTGCTGGCCACTAGTTGGTTCTGCTTCACTCTGATCCCTTTCCTCATAGGTAGGAGTCAACATAAAGGGATTGGTCTCCTGCTTCAATCCAAGCTGCTTCCCCCCCCGACTGCTGCAGAGTTCCTCCTGTTCCTCGTTAATCTGCAGAGGCTCTGGGTCCTCTTTGTCCAGACTGGAGTTCCTCTCCTGGTTCCAGAGCTGCTGGTCAGCCAGAGCCTCCCCCTCCTGACAGACATGTTGCTGTGGCAGCTCTGGAGGGACAAAGGAAGGAACAGGTCACTGATGTGATGAGGAAAAAACAAAAGTAATGTTTCTTATTCACCTGCTTCTAAGTGTAATTTTTCCAGTCTAGGTCAATACAATCTAATTATACCAACTGAATTAAGACACCAACAGTAAGCATTTCCTACAGGGATGCTTGTCATGTTTCAACTTAAGACATGGCCTATTATGTAATTACAACTATTATTCTATCATAATGTACATTTCAGCTAACTGGTAGCTAGTGGAGGTAGAAAGGCTTTCCCTGGAGTTATAATCTGAGCTACTATGGTGTTATTGGTAACTTCACGTCAGTCAAAAGCAAACAGTCTTATAAAGCACAGTATAACTCTGTAACAGTTGGCATTTGTAAAGTTTATGGAGAGCGCTGCTGGTCCATAGTAAACCTTTGCTGGTGTAGCTCAGTCATAAACTTCTGCGCATTACATGAAACTAATGAATATCTTGTGAGTGAAGCAGGACCAGGTTTTCTCTCAATGTCATATAAACAGTCGCTGAACACTGTTAACACGACAAATTAACTCCACTGTGTAAAGTTAAACTTCTGTGCATGCCAAAACCACACAGCAAAAGCCCCAACTACACAAGTACCACTATTATGGCAATGGTGCTAACCACTGTGCCACCGTGATGCCCTTGTGGTGTTTATTTCTTATCTAATGTGTCTCAGGTGTTGGAAAATGTCAGAGGTACTGCCCCCGTCTGTAGTTAATTGATCATGGATGGCATAGTTCTCACCGACATAAAAAAGAAATTATTTTTAAAAAATACTTGGGTGGACATTAAGATACTTGGGGGGCCTGTACAAGTAAAGTCTATGCGTGGAAAAGCCTGGCATACAGCTTTTAACCTGTTTGAATTCTTAGGTGTCTTTTCATGTGTGCCGTCATATAGAATCCTTTCCCACATGTTTTACAAAAATATGGCCTCTCCCTTGTGCAGGTTATAATGTGGGTCAACAAGCTCCCCCATTGTGTGAAACAGTTCAAACATGTTTGACAAGAATACGGCCTCTCACCTGTGTGGGATCTTAAATGATATTTCAAATGTGATAATGTCTTGACTGCTTTCCCACACGTCTTGCAAACATATGGCCTCTCCCCAGTGTGGTTTCGTAAATGAACCTCCAAATTTGACGACTGCTTGAATCCATTCCCACATATCTTGCAAACATATGGCCTCTCCCCAGTGTGGGTTCGTAAATGTACATTCAAATTTGATGACTGCTTGAATCCTTTCCCACATCTCTTGCAAACATATGGCCTCTCCCCAGTGTGGGTTCGTAAATGAATAGCCAGATGTGGTGACCGTTTGAATCCTTTCCAACAGGTCTTGCAAACATACGGCCTCTCACCTGTGTGGGTTCTCATGTGGATCAACAAGTCCTGCCGTTGCCTGCAAGACTTCCCACATGTTTTACAAGAATACGGCTTTTCCTCTGTGTGGGTTCGTAAATGACCATCCAAATGTGATGACTGTTTGAATCGTTTCCCACAGGTCTTGCAAGCATACGGCCTCTCACCTGTGTGGGTTCGTAAATGAGCATTAAAATCTGATGATCTCGTGAATGCTTTCCGACAGGTTTTGCAAGCATACGGCTTCTCCCCTGTGTGGATTCTCATGTGGACCAAATGCTCACTCTTACATCTGAAAATTTTCTTACATGTTTCACAACACTTTAAAGACTTTCTATCTGTGCGAGGATGAGAGGGAGTCTCTGACAGGGGAGAGGTGTCCACATTGCTACTGTGACTTGTGTCTTTGTAACGTCTTCTCTTTGGCTTTGGCTCTGCATTACTAGCCGATCCTGAGTCTCCATGCTGACTTCCGCCCTGATCCTGGCTCTCAGCTACAGCAGAGCTGGGGGAGAGGAGCTGCTGGTCATTGGTTGGTTCTGCTTCACTGTGGTAAGTAGGAGTCAACATAAAGGGATTGGTCTCCTGCTTCAGTCCAAGCTGCTCTCCCTCCTGACTGCTGCAGAGTTCCTCCTGTTGCTCTTTAATCTGTGGAGGCTCTGGGTCCTCTTGGTCCAGACTGGAGTTCCTCTCCTGGTTCTGGAGCTGCTGATCAGCCAGAACCTCCCCCTCCTGACAGACATGTTGCTGTGGCAGCTCTGGAGGGACAAAGGGACAGGTCACTGATGTGATGAGAGAAAAAAGCAAAAGTAATGTTTCTTATTAACCTGTTTCTTAGTGGAATTTTTCCAATCTAGGTCAATACAATCTCATTATACCAACTGAATTAAGACACCAACAGTAAAGGATAATAATCACAGGATAAGGATAATCACCTTTATTTGGCCAAGCATGTTACACTCACAAGGAATTTGTTTCTGGTACAGAGCCGAGGCAGCCATCTGTGGTGCCAACTCACACCGACGGCTCTAAAAATTGGGGGCGACTTGAGGGTTCAGTGTCTTGCCCAAGGACACTTCGATGTGTGGACTACAGGCACCGAGATTCGAACTTCCGAATATCCGGTTGGGAGCCGACAGCTCTACCCACTGAGGCACAGTCGCCCCTGTAAACATTTCATACTGTGAAGATTGTCATGTTTCAACTTAAGACATGGCTGATTATGTAATTACAAATATTACTCTATCATAATGTACATTTTAGCTAACTGGTAGCTAGTGGAGGTAGAAAGGCTTTCCCTGGAGTTATAATCTGAGCTACTATGGTGTTATTGGTAACTTCATGTCAGTCAAAAGCAAACGGTCTTATAAAGCACAGCATAACTCTGTAACAGTTGGCATTTGTAAAGTTTATGGAGAGCGCTGCTGGTCCATAGTAAACTTTGCTGGTGTAACTCAGTCATAAACTTCTGTGCATTACATGAAACTAATGAGTAACTTCACTTGTGAGTGAGGCAGGGCCAGATTTTCTCTTTCTGTGTGCAGGCCAAAAACTGTCAGTGTGGATGGTCCACATAGCAAAAGTCCCAACTACCTATCCTCATGCAAGAAGACATGCAGCTGTAATTGCTGCCAAAGGGGCTGCTACAAAGAACAAAATGAAGGGTTGAATACTTTTGACAGCAAAAGATAGCAGTTTTTAATTCTTGATTCATTTTCAGACAATTCTATGACCATGGCTTACATTTGTCATCGTGGGTGATTAAGTGTATAATGATGGGTAGAAATGGCAACTGTATCCATTCCAAAAGGAATCTACAGCACAATAAAATTGGCAAAAATAAAGGGGTCAGTGCTTTCTGAATCCACTGTAGAACAAATGATTTACTTAACAGCAAATTCCTCGTTAGACTTTAGAATGAGAAGTTCTTTAATCTATATATTAGCAAATTTTGCAACTACACATCGGTCACTGTACCATTATCTGAAAATAATCATGCCAGTTTTATACAGAAGATTACGAATAAGAAGTCACGTCACAGAAAAACGGAAATTTGAACAAAAACTACATTATGCTGAGTCACCGGTGTTGGTGAGTCTTTGTGTTAGTTTCGTTAACACCTTTCGAGTTTTACAAACCTATTCTGTGTAGCTTTACTTCTGGGTTCCAAACGATATCCAGCAGTCTGCGCTGACGATCGATCTCTTCTTCGTACTGGACGATAATTTTTTCAAAGCCGCCAAATATTTCTTCAGCAGCAGCAGTTAGTCGCTCGGTGACGAACTCTCTCAGACGCTGAACTGAAGCCATTGTTGATTTGTTACAGGCTAAATATACATCTGCGATTTAAAAAAAAAAGGCAATCGTCTTCAACTAACCCCATTCATCTACAAAGCTATCGCTGCTGGCGCTGTTTACTTCCGCCGGATGTCACACTGTGAAGTTCCACTTGGAAACGTGGTTCGGACTTTGTTCCGCTTTCGACATACAAGGCATTTTTGTAGCAGCAATTTAAGCTGAAACTTTTATTTTTAACTTAGCCGTGCTGCTCCTTCTTCCGTCCATATTCTCTCTTGTATGAGGCATCACCGGCTCACCTGGTGTTCAACCTGGCTTAGCCTTCGTGAAACGTATTCAGCCCGGATGCACTTTGGAGACTAGGTCAAGTCTCCATTCGTCCTATCTTGGATTTCACAATTCTGCTTTTGTGATATAGCCCTCTGATCAAGACTGTATGTTTACATTTGTTGTTGATATTAAAATATTTCACTTGTAAAAAGTCAGTGATGACTGAGACAACGTATCAGAAACAATATAAATCTCTACCAAACAGCAATTATTGTGTCTTGATGACTTACAGTAAATCAATATAGATAGAAACTTTATTGCAGACTCAAGGTCCAAATTCTGAATAATAAAAAAACTAACAATTAAAAAAAACACCACAAAACAACAACCAGTCCACTACTATCCCTTTAAGAGGCAAGTATACCAGTGTCTCCAAAGTATTGATGTATATCGCATGTCACTATATGCAGCGTTAGTCAACAATAAAACAATGTGGTTTTCAGAGCTATTCAAGCGACAGATAAATTTGTACATCAGGTTTACTAAAACAGCTGATAAAGTACTAACTCTTAGTGACGTTCCGCTTTCGACATACAAGGCATTTTTGTAGCAGCAATTTAAGCTGAAACTTTTATTTTTAACTTAGCCGTGCTGCTCCTTCTTCCGTCCATATTCTCTCTTGTATGAGGCATCACCGGCTCACCTGGTGTTCAACCTGGCTTAGCCTTCGTGAAACGTATTCAGCCCGGATGCACTTTGGAGACTAGGTCAAGTCTCCATTCGTCCTATCTTGGATTTCACAATTCTGCTTTTGTGATATAGCCCTCTGATCAAGACTGTATGTTTACATTTGTTGTTATTAAAATATTTCACTTGTACAAAGTCAGATGACAGACATTTCAGAAACAATATAAATCTCTACCAAACAGCAATTATTGTGTCTTGATGACTTACAGTAAATCAATATAGATAGAAACTTTATTGCAGACTCAAGGTCCAAATTCTGAATAATAAAAAAACTAACAATTAAAAAAAACACCACAAAACAACAACCAGTCCACTACTATCCCTTTAAGAGGCAAGTATACCAGTGTCTCCAGAGTACTGATGTATATCGCATGTCACTATATGCAGCATTAGTCAACAATAAAACAGTGTGGTTTTCAGAGCTATTCAGGCGACAGATAAATTTGTACATCAGGTTTCCTAAAACAGCTGATAAAGTACTAACTCGTAGTGACACAAACAATTTACTGGCACTCATCCGTCTAGGCCTATGACAGCTTCATTCTGAAGTTTAATGTTCATGAAAATCAACTACATAACAAATGAAGTGAGCCTGCCAGAGAGTCAGGCTGGATTATCTCTGATGCAGAGCAGCTTGTCACAAAAAGGAAAAACACAAAACCTACAACAAATAAAGAAAGCAAAATGTGTAAAAACACAAGACTAACAACCTCAAACTGAACTGCCCACTTTCAGGTTCTACATTTAGGTCACAGGGTGGTCCTGAAGTTTAAGATGATAGATAGAAACTTTATTGCAGACTCAAGGTCCAAACCCCAACAACAACAAACAAAAAAAACACACCACAAAACAACCAGTCCACTACTATCCCTTTAAGAGGCAAGTATACCAGTGTCTCCAGAGTACTGATGTATATCGCATGTCACTATATGCAGCATTAGTCAACAATAAAACAGTGTGGTTTTCAGAGCTATTCAGGCGACAGATAAATTTGTACATCAGGTTTCCTAAAACAGCTGATAAAGTACTAACTCGTAGTGACACAAACAATTTACTGGCACTCATCCGTCTAGGCCTATGACAGCTTCATTCTGAAGTTTAATGTTCATGAAAATCAACTACATAACAAATGAAGTGAGCCTGCCAGAGAGTCAGGCTGGATTATCTCTGATGCAGAGCAGCTTGTCACAAAAAGGAAAAACACAAAACCTACAACAAATAAAGAAAGCAAAATGTGTAAAAACACAAGACTAACAACCTCAAACTGAACTGCCCACTTTCAGGTTCTACATTTAGGTCACAGGGTGGTCCTGAAGTTTAAGATGGAGTTTTTTGTCCTAACAGAGACAAATGGTAAAATAACAAATAATTTTATCCTTTGTTTCACACTTTACTTTCCCTAATCACCATGGCCCACCCACAAGTCAAGAACACTTAACATGTTTGGAATATAGGAACAATATCTGAACTGTAATAGGAATAATGGTGATAGAAAGTGAAGTGAAAGAGTTGTGGGATTAACCCATACACTACAGCAGAGTGCATAACTGCACACCCTCTGCACTTTGTGTTCTTGTTGTATTTTTATTGGCTTCTTTCACCTGCTGCCTTAAAGTGCCTTAGATTTGAGATCTTACTGCCTATTTAGGTTTGTGTTATTGCTCATTTACTTTATATTTCACTCTGTATTTCATTTGTATTATGCGGCATTCATGTGGAGGGCAAAGTAAGAATTTCATTGTACATGGAAACGCATTTCCGTACTGTGCATATGACAGTAAACACTTTGACTTAACTTGGGCAAGACACTGAACACCCAAGTTGTCCCCGATGGTTAGAGCCATCGGTTGACTTGTCGCCACAGTTCAGTTTGAGGTTGTTAGTCTTGTAACAACTCAGATCCAGTGTAATTTCACATCTCACTGACATTTCATTCAATGTCAGTGAGATGTTTGTCACTGGCATGGTTTTTCCTTTGCTCTCCCATATTTTGTAAAAATACAAGTTTCAATCCATCTTTTCCCAAACAGGTATGGATTCTTCAATGTCTATAAAAAGTTGATGACTACTTGAATCTGTTCCCACAGGCCTTGCAAACATACAGCTTCTCACCAGTGTGTGATCTCGTGGTATTTCAATCGAGACTGATACCTAAACGTTTTCTCACAAGTGTCACACATTACAGACTTTCTCTCTGTGGGAGGATCTTTGTGACGTCTCCTCTTTGGCTTTGGCTCTGCATTACTAGCTGATCCTGAGTCTCCATGCTGGCTTCCTACTTAATCCTGGCTCTCAGCTACAGCAGAGCTGGGAGAGAGGAGCTGCTGGTCACTGGTTGGTTCTGTTTCACTCTGGTCCCTTTCCTCATAAGTAGGAGTCAACATAAAGGGATCAGTCTCCTGCTTCAGTCCAAGCTGCTCTCCCTCCTGACTGCTACAGAGTTCCTCCTGTTCCTCTTTAATCTGTGGAGGCTCTGGGTCCTCTTGGTCCAGACTGGAGTTCCTCTCCTGGTTCCAGAGCTGCTGGTCAGCCAGAACGTCCTCCTCCTGACAGACATGTTGCTGTGGCAGCTCTGGAGGGACAAAGGGAGGAACAGGTCACTGATGTGATGAGAGAAAAAACTAAAGTAATGTTTCTTATTAACCTGTTTCTTAGTGGAATTTTTCCAGTCTAGGTCAATACAATGTAATTATACCAAATGAACTAAGACACCAACAGTAAACATTTCATACTGTGAAGCTTGTCATGTTTCAACTTAAGATATGGCCTATTATGTAATTACAACTATTACTCTATCATAATGTAAATCTAGCCACAGGGGTTTCATGCCAGTGACTTCAGTGTCGGTCCCAAGGCCGGATAAATAGAAAGGGTTGTGTGAGGAAGGGCATCCAGCGTAAAACATGCCAAATTTAACCAGTGCTGCTGATCTACAGGGTGCTGGTGGAAATTGAACTAATGTTGGTCGAAGAAGGAGAGGAGGTAGAAGGGATCGTAGACAGGGAGAGAAGAGGAAAGGCAGGAGTATAGGTCTGAGAATAGGGACTCAACATTGGCACAATGACAGGGAAAGGTGGAGAGCTGGTGGACATGATGGAGAGAAGGAAGGTAGATATACTGTGTGTGCAGGAGACCAGGTGGAAGGGTAGCAAAGTGCATAGTATCGGATACAAACTATTTTATTATGGTGTGGACAGGAAGAGAAATGGGGTAGGAGTGATGCTGAAGGAGGAGCTCGTGAGGAATGTTTTAGAGGTGAAAAGAGTGTCAGACAGGGTGATTGGTTTGAAATTGGAAATCGAAGGGGTAATGTTGAATGTAGTCAGTGGTTATGCTCCACAAGTAGGGTGTGAGTTAGAAGAGAAGGAGAGATTCTGGAGTGAGTTAGATGAGGTGATAGAGAGTATTCCCGGAGGGGCCAGAGTGGTGATTGGAGCAGACTTCAACGGGCACGTTGGTGAGGGGAACAAAGGTGATGAGGAGGTGATGGGCAGGTTTGGTGTTAAGGAAAGGAACCTAGAAAGACAGATGGTGGTGGACGTTGCTAAAAGGATATAAATTGCCGTAGTTAACACTTATTTCCAAAGGAGGGAGGAACAGAGTTACATATAAGAGTGGAGGTAGGAGTACACAGGTAGACTACATTCTATGTAGACGAGGGAATCTGAGAGAGATTAGTGACTGCAAAGTGGTGGTAGGAGAAAGTGTAGGCAGACAGTATCGGATTGTGGTGTGTAGGATGACTCTGGTGGTCAGGAAGAAGAGGAGAGGAAAGACAGAAAAGAAGACCAAGTGGTGGAAGTTGCAAAAGGAAGAATGTTGTGAGGAATTCAGACAGAAGTTGAGACAGGCTTTGGGTGGTCAGGAAGAACTTCCAGATGACTGAGAAACTACATCAGAAGCAATCAGGGAGACAGGTAGGAAGGTGCTAGGTGTATCATCTGGAAGGAGGAAAGAAGATGAGGAAACATGGTGGTGGAACGAGGAAGTACAAGACAGCATTCAGAGGAAGAGGCTAGCTAGAAAGAAGTGGGACGTAGAAAGGACTGAAGAAGGTAGACGGGATTACAAGGAATTGCATCGCAGAGTAAAGAGGGAGGTGGCAATGGCCAAACAGAAAGCATATGATGAGTTGTATGCCAGGTTAGACACGAGGGAAGGTGAGAAGGACTTGTACAGATTAGTGAGACAGAGAGATAGAGATGGGAAGGATGTGCAACAGATAAGGGCGATTAAAGACAGAGATGGAAAGGTGCTAACAAGTGAGGAGAGTGTGCAGAGAAGATGGAAGGAGTATTTTGAGGAACTGATGAATGAGGAAAA